TGTATACATATACGCCTTTTTTCTATTTTAAAACAATTGAAATCACATGTTTCACAACATAAAAAAGATCAACAATCAATTTTGTCACAAAGTGATAAAACGAGTGTCCATTATGCTGGTGAACTATTGATAAACTCTAATAAACATAATTTGATATATTCAATATCATTTGATCGATTATGGTCTTCAATCATTTTTTCAAAAATTTCTATGACATTAAATGAAAGAATCTTATTATACCAAGATTCAACAAAGTGTGAAAAGTATTTCTTAAATTCAATGAGCTGTTCAAAGTCCTTTATTCCATTCACATGAAGGCGTAAATTATTTGCAGTATATCCTACAGGCTTTGCAATTATATGCCCACAGGCATCACATGTTCTTTTTCTATTTGACATTTTGATTTTAGTATTTTTCTAACAATAATATATTTATTTAATTCAAAGATTGCCCATAGAGAATTAATTAATATGATGGTTTGTGTTCCCTACAGTATTCCCCTTCCTGCATAGAAACATTCTCAACAAAGAGTAAGATTTAAATCCAAAAGTTTTTCTCGGTGTACAGCCATAAGTTCCTCATATGTAGTAGGAAAATTCATATTTCGTTGAGGATCATGAGTATTAAAATTAGAATGAGTATCTTCAGGAGTAGTTGGATTAATTACTTGTTTCCGTGTATGAGCAATTTATTTTTTTCTATGATAATTGTTATGTCGCACAATATTAATAAAAAACAAGGATGGGGAATCTAATAGTGCACCATTGGATCGACTTCCAGAAGAAAGAGAAAGGTTGCAAAATTTGATTTCTAATTATTCACTTCATGATGTGTTTAATTGTGACAAAACAGGCTTATACTGGAATACAGAACCTTCGAAAACACTAGCTACAAATAAAATTTCAGGCACAAAAAATTCAAAAAATAGAGTAACAATTCATTTGACATGTAACGCTACAGGTTGTGAGAAATTTATACTTGTCGTCGGAATTCCATAATTACAGCAAATTCAGCATTACGTATAAGCCGTAAATGATTTTTGGCACGAGACCTCAAAGTCATAAAAGTCATAAACCGTAAAACCGTAAAACCGTAAATGCCGTAAATGCTGTAAATGCCGTAAATGCTGTAAATCCTAATACCATAATAGAACAGGAGAGAACGTCCTATATAAGGAATAAATTTTCACAATTGATTTCAATTTTTTTTATACAGTTTAAAATACTTTTACAAGGGTATCATGTAGCCCATTCTTACA